AAGGTTTCGTATTTTACTTACAGTAAGACATTTGCTTTCGTAGTTGAAGACTGTCGCTATAATGGACACTTCCTCGCCGCGGATAACAGAGTATGGGAGGGTCAATGAAACAAAGAATGACTGGAATACTTTCAGTGTGGCAGGTTTGGAAACTCCGAGACCAGATGAATTGGACATGGCAAATGCACTTGCTATCCAGCTAGTGGTGGTATCAGGAACCTTGGCCATAACCACAGCTTTTCCAGTCACGTCACTGTAATTCAATTAAAATATGAAAGCTTACTGTCAATTGAATGCCTTAATCAATTTCGTCGCTACTTTGGTTTTGATTGCTAAAATTTTTCAATTGGCTAAAAATTCTCAAATTACCACAATGTTGAGACGCGTGATAATAAACAATAATTATCCATTTTCTTTTCTATCTGTCTTCTCATTGGCTGAGAGCCTACAGTTAATTTTGACAATCATCGCACCTGACAGATTAGTTAGTTATCTGCTAGCAGATTACTGACTGATCTGAGATAGGTTGCACACTCAATACATTACCTCCAAAGGAAATGTCAGTGTGTTTGGCATTACTTTCTTCGAGACAATGTGAAATAAAACAATCATTAGATTTGGTTCTAACCATTTTCGGAATAATCAAGGTCTCAGTATGTGTTATTAGCCTCGGTCTTCGGCTCGGCTGATAACACTTACCTCGACCTAGATTGCGCGATACCAGAGTTCAAGTGAAACTAAAAGTTCCAAAAAAATGTGTACAGTCCGACAATTATTGAACGAGGGTGGGCCAAATATGGTGATTTGTTAGTGGTTAAGTAGAGCAATTATTTGCCGATGCAAATAATTGATGTTAGAGACACAACAGAAAAGCACGGTCCGCATGAAAGTGGTTTCTCTGATTCACCAAATGCTGCAATTTTTCGGCCCGATTTTTTTCTACACAAAACATTTGACTAGAACACAATCGGCCTGACTTTCAAAAATCTGTGGCGCTCCAACACATATCTGAAATCAAATAGGCGTCGAATTTGACCCGATCTTTGTTATTTCGCGCCTTTCCTTAGGATAAGAAAATCGGCCCGATAAATCGTAGCCTATAAAGGGTATCATTTCAACCGAGGTTAGCCGAAAAGACGATTTTCTTATATCCGCAACCATGTCTTAAGGCCGCAGAACATTTCTGTGATTTTCAAATCTTTAAGCAGCACATCTGATGTAAACAGTTACTCACTAAGAGAACAAAACTAGGGCTTTCAACCCGGTTTTCTTTACACGAAAAGTAAATAAACGTTTCCGAACTACATCTCTTGCAAAAACAGTGAGTTCATTTTATTAAAAAAATTCCCCAATTTTCAGGGAAATTTACTCAATTTAGTTTTACTTTTAGGCTTAATTCTTAACCAAATTCAAAATTTATCAGTATCGCCTTGTCTGTAAGTAGGTTGCCTGGATTTCACCCACACCTGGTCTGCAAGTATATACCGGGGGTAAGTTCTTAATTAAATTCAATATTCAAAAGGAAGGTCAAACATTTAGGGTCTGCTATCTAAACCAAGTCCAACTTAAGCCGCGGTTTAGCAAATCTTTGGACCTCCAGATCTCTTCCTTAGTGGGTTATTTTAAGACAATGAGTGCTTTTCCAGTCTACGCCTTATGATTTCATGAAACTTTTCACGATAAATGGTGTTAAGATAAAAGCGTTAGGCAAACTGAAAATGGCTTAGAATGCGGTTTTGTTAAACACTGGCTAAACTCCGTTTTAATAATTGGCCCGGCTTATACTTTTAAATGCGTAAATGTATTAAATGAAACAACATATAAATGATGATATAAATCTGTGATAACATGTTTAAGATTGTGTAACATAGTGATCCCTCAGTAGCTACTAAATCCATCGCTATTTTAAATACATGATACGATTTAAGGTGAAACAAGAACTCGACAGGCCAGTAATTGCTAAATGTCTAAGTGGAACATGAACGTTCTCTCAGTATTTTTAGATCTGTCGAACTTCAGCTGCAAGTAACTGTACAAGACCGCCGGAGACACCAAAAATTTTACCAATATCCGCGCCTTTAACAAAATCTCCGCGGAGAAATGGCTATGGACACCGTAAAGAAAAACGATATAAACCTCTCATTTCAGCTACAGAAGTTTAAAAATTGACACAAATTATTAAAACGATTAAAGTCAATAGTAAGACAGAGTGATTTTTACTTGAACCGTGAAACAGATACTAACAAATAGTGCAAAATAGCAAGCGGTAAACAAAAGAAGACAATGGAATAAGTGCATAATAGTGCGTAAAATCACTCGAAAAATTTTCCATATTTGGTCAGCGCTAGTTGGTTATAAAGATCAATGCCGAGAAATTAAAGCCAATGGAAAATTGAGAAATATTCTAAATGAAAAATATTAGCAGTACGGTGCTTTCTAACCTTTATTAACGGAAACTTCCACGATACGAGACGATACAAAACGGTACCATACGATACGATAACATACGTAACGAGGAGTTTACGCTTAGGTTAATCAGCTAATTTACAGGAAATCCAAGGTCCCAGTATACATGTATACCAAAAAACTACAAACTACAATTGTACAATATTAACTAAAACTGAACTAAATTCTAAAATATACACAACGGAAGACAACAGGCGGCAATTACTGAAAATCCCTTTATTACTCACGATTAAGCGCTCAAAGTATACTTTTCTCTTCATCTATACCCGCTTTAGTTCTATCATTTGAAAACTCTTTCTTTTTCTTAGCAGCAAAATTGCTCCATGATTTGCAGCCGAACAATGTATTTAATACTGTTGACTTTAGGTATAAAGAAAGAATAGAATCACAAGATCATACTTGGATGAGCGTAAAGTGATCAGAAACTCAATTGCAGGTGGAGCATAGAATACACCTCTGTAGTGTGGACACTTGGATATGTCCCTTTGGTGTCGTCTGCATTACACTTGTAAGCAATTTTTAATTGCCTCCTCCTCAAAAGACCTTGAAAAAACGCCAATTTAGGCGGAAAGCAAGCAAGAGCTGTCACATTTTTACCCTTCAATAGATATCCACTTACTTACACTCCAAAGGAAACAAGGAAATCGTCCGTGTTAGCGGGATTCGAGTTTACGTGGTTAATGATAAAGGTCAAGTTATCCTGTACCCTCTTCCGGGGGCTTGGGTATAAAACGTTCTTATGGTAAGAGGGCTCGTAAGCATTGGTCTGGAACAACAACCAAGTTGTTTCAAATCAATACTTAGGAGTACCATAAACTTAGATGCTTTATGCGACCCTGTCCAAGTTTTCAGTTGGTCGTAACGAGGGACACAAAGGAAGCGACTGAAATAAGACCATGCACGTCTCGCCCAATGGCACAAAAACTGTCTTCACGTCTCAAAAATAACGCGATCTACTACCTTGGACAAAATGAAATAAGAACAACAAACCCCTCTTTCTTCGGAAATCAAAGATGAAGCAGCGCAAAGGCCAAAACGCGCCATTTTCCCGTCTTTGATCGAGGGGGGGGCGGGGGGAAGGATTCTATATTTTCCATTTATTTTGTCCGAGACTGTAGTTTAGACGCTACCTTTTATGCTGCTTCTCGATGCTACAGTTGGTGTCTTGTTTAAGAGAGAGTCCTTTGCAATCAACATTGTTTAGTACCTTTTTTAAAAAAAGGGAAATTCAGATATGAAGGTTTTGTTTGCAATAACCCGTGTATATCATACGCCTGCTTACTTTACCAACTCCTCACTCCATAGCCATGGCTCGGCGAATTCCTTACGTACATATCCAGGCTTCTGTCTTGATTTGTTTTGCTTTTTACTGGGTTGGCGATTACTCCCGTTAGAACTCGGTTGCTGTGATTGCCATCCGAATGGTCCAAATCGGCGACGATGGCATCGGCGACGACTGAGTCGGCGACGACTGAATCGGCGATGAAATAGACGCATCGGGCCCGTCCAGCGACGATATCGACCTCCATAAGGGCGTCCCTTGCAGCTATCTGGTCTCCGGCGCCTAGTACCTAAAAGAAATTCGATTTCACAGGCACATCATAAAACAAGGCCGTCGATGCAATGGCTAAGAAAGGAGCATTGATTTGTCATGATTACACAGCTTTTTAGGTGTTGTTTAATATAACTTAATTTTAACGTGTTAATTTCTTCGCGACCTAGTCTGACTTGACTAACACATTTATCGTTGACGGTAGAAAATAAGTCAATAAGTTTTAAATGTCCCCACACTGCTTGTCTGACAGTACGAGTTTTATCAGGTTAACAGTGAAACCTTCAGTCTCTTGACTGCTGTCTACTGAGTTGGCTAGAGTACAGGGACCGGTTACATAAAACCTTTACTTTAAATGCTCTATTAAGCAGGATACTTAATTACCCTTCAAAAATTGCGTGCCCGTTGCGGGTGATGTTGCTTACAACATACCAAACACTTCCAGTCGTTCGTTTCTGCGGAATCCACACAAGTTCCGTAAATTTACGTTCTATTTACCACTTAAAAGACACTTAAGTATTAAAATGCCCAATTTATTTGTGTTTTCATGCCTACAACACTCCCATTTACACAGACCTTCCCTCCCTTCTATCTTACACACTGTTTCATTGGAGACTTGGAAAACCTTTCATTGGGATGCCTATCCCATACTTTAAACACCTGTAATACCACAAAGGTTGCTAGGTGCATCTATTGCTCTAATTTTTTTTTCGTTTTTTTTTTATCGTAGTATTATTTTTTTTTACAAAGTCAGCGGGGTGGGCGCATATCCCGAACACAACGCCTTATGTATGTTGACTTAGATCTCCGGCTGGTTTAGGTTGTAAGAACAAAACGGACTCAAAAATAGATTCAAACTGCACTATACAGCTCGTATAACTCTTGTCATTTAGATTTCACTGACACGTCAGCCCAACATGCTAACATTAGTAACGTATTATCACGTGTAGTTATATACTAAACAGAGAAAAAGTTAACTGATAGTTTAAATTTGTGAATATTAAAGTAAAGATTAAAGACTGAATTAGTTTTAAGACTGCACAGTCAAATCAAAAGTTTTAAGAGGCTCAGAAATAATATTTTATTTAATGGTATAAATATTAATCATGAAGAAAAAAGCATTTAAGCTTGTTAAGTGTAAAACAGATACTCCAGCCAATTGGTAGGAGAATTTAAAAATTCGTTGTTGTTTTCAAATTTTAGCGCTTTGATTCCAATAAAGTAGTGTCACAATTTTCTACCGCCATGGAAAAGAACATGTTGCTGCCACCTGGTTACCAACGTAGTTTATTTGTTTGGACTTAAGATGGACAGTTCCACTCTAAAGAGCACGGTTAATTGTTTACAACTAAAGTTTTACTACATTTGGAAGAGACTAGAGTCGTCGCAAGGTGTATATGGCTAGGCAAGAGGGAGGCTGTGAGAAGTGGATCCCAACGCTACAGAAACTAGGGAGCTTTAGCAATTAAGGCGAGAGCAGCAGTGATAAATTGAAGTTAAAAACTGAATAACAGTACGCTCCACTTCAGTAATGATTACCATACAAAAAGCTATTTTAGTTAATGTTGTCAAAAACTCTAGGCGACAGGGCCGAAAAAGCAAGAAATGTTTTTGTTTCTGCATTCATCGCCTCTTCCTTAAGAGACCTCCGACAGCGGATGGAACGGTTAAAGAAATAATCCGGGTTTAAGGGGACTTAAGGTTGCTCGACTGGATTTTTTGGGGGGGATACCTCCCAAGTTTGAGCATTAATTGCGTCGCCATGAGTAAAGATATGGAAAAAAAGTTACCACAACTGTATTATATAAAGATGAAAATTTCTTATGATTTGGGTTTTATTGCAATCGGAGTCGCCATAGCAACGTAACGACGCCATTACGTTTTTTTTATTTATCTTTGTGTTTCTCTGTACCAAGAGTTTTTTTAAAAATCGCTTAAGGGAGTTTGTACGTGCCATAATTGCCTTAATTATGGCAAAGTTTGAACAAATTCTATGAGAGCGTTTTCGAAATATTTTGAAACGAAGTTTTAAGCATCATATAAACAGTGAAATGGCAGGCTATCCACACAATTAGCTAATTTTTTAAGAAAATGATAAGCTTTGGAAACGCGGCTTCATCTCATAGCGGTTTGATTCCATTGCAAACTGATTACAAAAAAAAGAGGGGAATTGTTCTGGGCGATCGCGAGTATGAAGAAATTTATTAACTTGCATTCAGCTGCTTTTGTTACAGTTTTTGGTCTACGCCTACAAATTTTGCATTTTTAAAAAAAACCGGTCGCTAAATTTATTATAAATTTGAAAATCCCGAGATCAATCGTCAATAAATGTCCGCTGCAAGTTTCAAGAACATTAAAAACAAGGAAGGCTTTTAAATAGGGCCTCAAATATGACCAATTTTCCCCCCAGTTTTGTGTTTACAACTGAGCGTCCTCATTATTCACTGGCATTGTTTAAAAAAACTCCTGGTACAGAGAAACACAAAGATAAACAAAAAACGTAATGGCGTCGTTACGTTGCCTTCGCAACTCCGATTCCAATAAAACCCATATCATAAGAATTTTTCATCTTTATATAATACAGTTGTGGAAACCTTTTTCCATATCTTTACTCATGGCGACGTAATTAATGCTCACAAGAATTTCCCGGGCTTTTCCTTTTGGATTTACACTTGGAACAAGGATGCAGTCCCTGAAAACTTAAGTCCAGAAAAATTCGCCAGCATTCGATCCCCCGGAGAGCTTGCTCGCAGGCTATGATTGATTGCTTAGGCTCCCTGACAACAGGGCTGCAACGGTAACCAACCTTTTCCACGATTCGATACAGATCGCGATACAAGGGCCACGATACGATATACTAGTATTACTATGCGGGACAAGAATAGTTCCCATTGCTTGTGGGTGGACAAGACGAGAAGCACGGGGAGCAGGGATGGTTTGCTTTTTTCTTGTTCCCAACACAAATCGCCTTAAAGGAGATTGGATTTAAGACAGTGATTCCCCAAATTTTCGTTTTTTAGCATATGTCATTGTATCGTAACATCGCTATATCTGGTTCAAATGTGGATATTCCTACCTTAGAAGAAATATCGCGGTTCACACATGCATCGATATATCGTTGCAGCCCTCCCAAACGATACACACAACTGACAATCATCGATAAAATTGATCTGAAAGAATGCCATTCACTTACAGTATGAGACGCGCTTTTCGCATCGAGCTGTTTGGATGCCGAGGTCAGAAAAGTAAATTACACCACTTTCCTGAAAACAAAGCGGTAATAATAAGTCAGGGTTAACATTTATTCTCTGATTATTTGTATAATAATAAAAGGTAATAATAATGAGGCTGAAATGGTTTTGTAGACTGTGTAGGGTATCACTTTGGGTTATCGCCGCCGATCTTGGGAGTAATTAATGCTCAACGATATCATGTTTGTAGACAACAAAATTGGCTTAAAATTAGGCTTGAAGTTGGTTAATCTTAAACACCTTTCGTGGCGGCCACTCGCTGGAACGAATGACTTCCCTGAGTCGGGGACGTCTGACTTCCTCCGAACCACAACTGGTCCCCTGCAGGACAGACTTCAATGGCTTGCTCCAATATGACTGTAGACGTTACTTTAACTAACGCCTAACCTTCAACGCACGGCACTTTTGAAAAGCAGGTCATTTTATCTCATTTTTTCATAAGAATATGTGTTCTCTTGTATAAATATTGATAGATAAGTATTCTTTTTTTTCTTTACCTGTGTAATCCTGATGAGTTTTAACCGTGTTGAAATGAAGATTACTACTACTACTGCATTAGCCTGCGAAAACAGCCGTCTCTCCACGTTTCTCGCCCCTGGGGAGGTTTCGCTAGGAGGGACGTCTGCGCCTAAGCGACAGAAACTCCATACTGATGACGTAAATCAATGTTTACATGATAAATCCGATAGTCATGAATTCCAAATCTAAATTTGTTCGATTTTATGTTTCTCCTGGTCGATTATGGTAAAGTTTTGTGTTCTTTGGCGAACGAGCTCCAGCAAAACTCAAATGCTTCTGCTAGAGAAGAATATATTCCACGAAAATTGACTGTTTTGTAGGAAGATTCATCGCGTTTACATTTGACCTTTGTGACCGTTTCCCGTTTGTCTATCGTTCGTAGACAATAGCTAAAACAATATAACTACTACGTTGACCAATCAGAGCTCCTGACCAGATTTCAGACAGTATGGAATTTCCTTTGCTGGGGGACAAACGTCCCCCCAGGCGAAAGGTCCCTTTAGCGGCAAGGAGCGACGGCTGTTTTTGCCGACTGATATGGCATTGCCTGGAACACGCCATTAGTTAGCTTCTGCATACACGTTTCTGAGGTAGACTTTTTGCATTATTGGGCAAAAGCTTAGCCAAAATTTTCAAAAAAATCGTCTCTACGAGAGAGAAGAACCTTAGCAATACAAGTTTGGTAGCGTCAACGCATATCAAAAGGAAAACGGCCTCGCTTCCAGTTGACGTACCTCGCTCAAAAACGTCTTTCCTTAAGCTCCCTACTACGATATGTCTACGTGAACTCTATTTTTTCAACTGAGCTGCCTTTGTTTAAATATTGTACCAACCTTAAATGCTTTTGAAGCATCAAGTGGCTTTGTGCCAGAGCAATCTGATCGATAATCTCCAGACGACTCAACATCCTGAGAACTTAGTACATTTATTGCCTACAGAAGTAAACAGTATGTTAAAAGTCAGCTCTTCCATTGGCGAATCCCTTATGACGTCATTGTTTGCAATTTTGCTCATTAGCATACAATTCAACAACCTCCTTCCCAGGGTTCTCTCTCTTGTTTCGAGGGAGGAAGACAGAGAACCCTGGGAACCAGGTTGTCAAGTTAACCTATAGAAGACGTCACCGTATATAAAAATTAGATTCAAAAGTTGAAAGAGCTAATAAATTTGAGTGGTTTGTGCAATTTTCAACTCTTTGCGATCACTAACAAAAAAAATATAGGCAATCAAAAACTTCGAAATTGCTGGATGGCGAAAAAGAAACTATGAGTAAGTGCCGTTAACGTAGCTGGAGAAGAGGGCAGCAGACGCGTGATAGCTGACCACAGGACTGTTTTCTGCCAACAAAATGTTCCCTTAGCCCAGACATATGACCATTCAAGAAAGAAATAATGATTTGCAGCTCTGGGTCGAGTTGTTGGAAAATTGGATAACCCTATCTACTGGATAAACCTCTAATACGTATCCGCTGGACAGTGATTTATCAAGTAAATAGCGCTGTCCAACGTTTGAACAACTGGGGCCTGTTCAACAATCCCGCGAATCCCGAGGGTTACCCATTAAAACAGGTTACACAATGAAGGGTTTGAACCCAGGAGTCAGTAGGTTGAGCATGATCGTCCGGGTCAAGGTAGTCCTGAATAGGACTGTTGTTACAGTCCAAGCAGGTCAAGCGTTTCCGTCGAGTCGCCAACGAACTAATGAATTCATTAAGGATAAAATGATTTCGTTTGTTGATTCAATAATCCATTCTTAAAATGAACAATCCAATATTCATATTCAGCCTCGATTCAATAATCGAATACTGATTCGATTACTGTTGTTTGAAAAACCACACTTTCCACAAGTCAACTTCAAAATTTTGTTTTTTCTTCTTTTTTTTGCTGCCAGTAATCAGTGCAACAGACCTGACCTCTTAGAAAACACGATGGTCAAACTGAGATCAGTGTATGTGCGGTGATTGGCGGTTTTCGATCCTCGGCCTTTGTCAGTTGCTTTGCGTTTGCAGTCTGTCTATTTGCTGCCGGGCATCAGCCGGCAGCAGACCATATTCTTGAGCGATTTGAGATCTTTGGTTCAATGGTTCCATGGTTCAATCAATCTGTGACTGCGGCGCTGTGCAGTCAGCGGTTTGTTGAAGCAAGTGCTTAGCTGCCGCGCCTGTTTTTTGAGAACAAAACAAAATGGCGGGTTGCTCCTATGTACGATCCAGGGCGGATAAATGTTGGGCGGTGAAACGAGCGCTCCGCTCTTCATTTAATGTGTGATGCAGATTAGGACTGGTACGAGCGCTATTTCCGCACTTCCGGTGCGCTTGAAGGCCGGCGAAATTTTCCTTTTTGTAAACCGGAAATCCTATTTTCTTTCTGTAATTTCAGGCTACAATGTTAAATAGATAAATTCGTTTCATAACAATAGCAATAAACAGTTTCATATGTTTATATCTGTATGCCTATAAGTCTAACTTGTTGGTCGTATAATGCCAAAATTTGAGTTTAATTTGAAATTGCTGAATACCTCCTCCTTCCACTAAATATCACCAGAAACCCATAAGGGGTTGAAACGTGTAACTCGCGTTTAATGCTCGTGAATATTTACTTTTACCATATTTGGAAACCTTAGTAACGGATATCCATTTTCAACAAAATGGCTGCTGCGCGATCACCACGCAGATGTTTTAAGACAAGAGTTCTGCATTTCAAGGTTAAAAATGCACCGTTAAAAGACAAAAAATGGAAAGAGAAAGTTCAAAAGAATGCTCAGCTTTCTTTTTGTGGAGAAAGGGAAGCTTTTCATCAAGAAATCGTCCTTCGAGGAATTCAACCTTGTTTTCTTCACGGCGGAGCCCATGGTCTGTTTTGAAATGCAACCAAGTCAGCGAAGTTTTTGCTGAATTTTCAGGTACATTTTGCACTCTATGGCCAAGACAATTACGTTTTTGAAAGGGAATTTATGTACTTTTAAATGTTTCATTGACGTTTTAAGAAAAATTACAAAATGTGCCCTGATTTGAGATGGATTTTGTGTTGAATTTTGCCATGTGCTTAGCCGATTTCACTTGCGTGAACGGATCCACGATCCAGATAGTGTTTTCCGAATTGCTTTAAAGGATTAACTTTTTGGACTTTGAATAAAAATTTTCAAGAAACAGCTTCTCTGTCTATTGTTTTGAGTTTGTTCATTCATAAAATTAGCTCAACATACGATCGTGACTACAACATCCAAGTATAATTTTAGCTTTTAAAATGCTTCTCACATTCATTACAAGCATCACTTTTTGTGAAGATGTCAGGTTCAGGTTTTGGACACTTTTCGATACGCAGCTAATGAATTTTATTCGAAAATATTTTTCACTGTTTATTCTAGACTTTTAACATAAGAATTTCAAAAGCCTATTTGCAGTATAAGTTTACTGTGCAGATGGTCAACGAGGCATCGTTTTTTGAAGTGACAACTTCAAGAAGTTGCGAGGCCGTCAATGGGTTTCATAATGTTACGTTTGGCCCGGGTGGTAAGGCAATAATATCCTGCTCAGCGTTTCGGTAATATTCCTGGCTTCAACCTTTGAAAGCTTTCTCGGCTTTCGGGAGTTTTTCCCCCGTTTGTCGGCCATTTTTTTAAGCGGGCGCGGGAATCTGAAGGAAAATTACGTCACGTTGTTTACGAAGTTTGATTGGTCAGTTATCTCTTCTTCTCGTTCCAAATATGGTACTTTCGAAAATGAATAATCACGAGCATTGGACAAAGCAAACATATGAGAGTTACACGTTTCAACCCCTTATGAGTTTCTGATATCACCTAATTGTCTTTCGGCGTTTCGTTCGCAAAAGCTTAACATTTCTTAACCTCAATATTTACATATGTTAAAGGGGGATAAATTTTATATAACATAACAAAAACTTAGATTGATATATTTTGATATAGTGGCTTTGTACTGCTTCAAACTTTGCTTCTCGGGTGCAACGCGCCACGGCGATTCGCGCAATGCGTCGCAAATCCGGCAACCGCATGTAAACAAAACTTATTGAGGTTAGTTGTAAGGTTTTTTCTCCGTTCTTCTCTCTAAAACAAAACAAGGTAAACAGTAAAAACTGAGGGAAAACTAATTTTGAAGTTTCGAAGAAACAGAAAGACGTATGAGATGTTTTTTTTCAAAATTAAAAAGAAGCATGATGGTGATTGAAATTAGCATAATTTCACCTTGAACGAGCTGCACGCATTTATAAAATACACGTCATGTAATATATCAAACATGAGATGCAGTGTTTCATCACCAGATGAAACACCGAGAAGAGAGTTGAAAATACGACGCGCAGCGGAGTATTTTTGACGAACTTCGAGGTGTTTCATCTGGTGATGAAACACTGTGTCGAATGTTTGATATTTCTTCTCAAACAAAATCATTTTTGAAGGAGAAATTAAGGATGCAAATACTAAGCAGTGTTTCATCCGATTTCCAAACACTCATTAAACATTAATTTCCTTTGTATTTTCTTAATGAATTATTAATGAGTTTGAGAACTAGTTATGAAACACGATCTGCTGTCTTTTAGTTTTGTCATGGATGACATGGATGAGATTTTCCCTCGTGTTTTAGACAGTACTTAGTTGTTGTTGTTTTGGAATAACATCGACATTGGCGGGTAGTAGAACGAAAATATAATTCAGTGGTAGGGTCATGAAAGTAATAAGAGAAACCCTTTGAAAGAGAT